TGCCTCCTCATCGCCTGTTTGGTGAGGATTCATCACCTTATAGCTAATTACTGGACTTTGATTTGGTTTGGGCTCACTTGACTTGATTTCTGTCACTCATCGAACAAGGTGTCGTGTCAATCCCTGAGCTAGTCCGGAATCCTAAGTTTTTATTGCTAACAACTTGGGCTGGTACTCTTTAACATTTTCATCAATGATCTAGATTCGGGAGTCATATGTGAACTGGCCAAGTTCGCGGATGATACTAAATTATGGGGGAGGGCCGTCACACTGCAGGACAGGCTGGGATTACAGGCTGACTTGGACACACTCTCAAGGTGGGCTGACCAAAACTGGATGGCCTTCAATGCAGAGAAGTGCGAAGTGCTGCACCTCAGTAGGAAGAACCCTCAGCATACTTACAGGCGCTAGCACCACAACCAAAAGGGACTTGGGGGTCTTTATTGACCACAAGATGAATATGAGCCAGTTACCAATGTGATGCGGTGGCAGGCAAAGCTAGCCAAACTCTGGTGTGCATCCACCAATGCATCTCAAGCAAAACCAGGGAAGTCATCCTCCCACTTTATTTGGCCCTGGTGAGACCACAGCTGGAGTACTGCGTCCAGTATTAGGTCCCCCACTTCAGGAAGGATGTGGAGAAGCTTGAAAGAGTCCAGAGGGGAGAGACTCATATGATCCAAGGCTTGGAAGGAAGGCCGTATGAGGAGAGGCTGAGGGACTTGGGACTCTTCAATCTGGAGAAGAGAAGTGGGGACTTGGTGGCAACCTACAACTTCATAAGAGAGGTACATCAGGACCTGGGAGAACATCTGTTCACCAGAGCTCCCCAAGGGGTAACAAGTTCTAACGGCTATAAACTCCAGGAAGGCTGATTTAGACTGAATATAAAAAAAAAGTTGTTTATGGTACGTGTGTCCAGGGTCTGGAACAAACTCCCCCCGAGGTGGTGCAAACACCTACTCTGGACCCCTTCAAAAAAACAGCTGGATTTATTTCTTGCTGGGGTCACTTGATCCCAGCTGACTTCCCGCCTATGGCAGGGGGGGCAGACCTGATGATCTCATGAGGTCCCTTCCCCCCCTAATGTCTATGAAGGAGGGGCTATTAGTTAACTAGGTGGGCCTTAAGGTTCATGATCTCTGGAAGATACAAATAGATAGGAGCTTCTGAGTTTCCCGTCACTTGTCTGTGCATGTTTCTGGGTGGAGGACCAGTGGGAGGTGTCCACCAGCTCCTTGGATGCCTTTGAGAACCAGTGGGTACGGCCTGGGGGGCTCTGCTCAGTGTCCCACTCAGGCGCACTTCTTTTCACGTTTTGACCCACACAACACTCCCACCCTGTTTTTGCCTTAGTTGTCCCAAGTATTTTGTTGTGTTATTCATTTATTGGCCCCACACCATAGGGGCCACTAGCTGGGTGGGCCTTAGGGCCCATGGCATTTGGGTAACAAATACACAGGAGAAAGCTCGAGCAGAAGGCTGGAGACAGCAGGGGAAGTCTCCAGATCATCTCTAGGAGCTTGTCTCCAGCCTCCTGCTCCTTCCCCTGCTCATCTCCAGCCTTGGGAGACTGGAGATGAGCAGGAGGCTGGAGAGAGCAGGAGAATGAGCAAGGGGTTGGAGAGAGCAGGGAAACATCTCCAGCTCATCTCCAAGGGCTCATCTCCAGCCCCCTGCTCGTGCTCCTGCTTGTCTCCAGCCTTGCGAGGCTGTAGACGAGCAGGGGTGAGCAGGAGGCTGGAGACAAGCCCCTGGAGATGTTCCCCCGCTGTCTCCACCTCCTGATCATTCTCCTCTCATCTCCAGCCTCGGAGGCTGCTGCTACTATCGGTGAGTGGAGGTGGGGGAGGGTTGGAAGAGCAAGCAGGGGGTGAGGGGAACAAACGGAGGGTGGGAGAAACAAATGGGAGGGCGTGGGGAACAAACTGGGGCTGAGGCCAGGCGGGGCCTCCCCCATGGTCCCCTCCCCCCTCCTCCAGACCCCTACTTACCTGTACAAAGCTGGTTCCAGATCCCTGCAGTGTGCTTCAGCACCGGGGAAAGGACCAACCACAGAGCTGCTCTGGCTGGCTACCAAAGCATCTCTGTGGAAGACCGAGCCACCAGTTGCCTCAGGGTATGGTCCGGGACTGTGCCCTGCCCTGCTTTTGTCCTCTGGGGTATGGTTTGACCCTTGGATATCCAGGGGTCTAATTTTGCCTCCAGGGGTCTAATTTGCAACCAAGGGAATTTTTTTTTGTTCCTGCACATGCCTCTTGCAGTGTCTCAAAGGGGTTTGAGATGATGCAAGAGGCACGCGCGTGCTTTTCTAGACGCATCCAAAGAGCACAAAAATACTCTTGGTTCAGAAAAGAAAGTTGAAAGAGAAGAGGGTGAAGCCCTGGAGCAGATTCACCAGTGTGATTACATCATCATAGCACATGGATGATGTAACAGCTCCACAAAAGATTGCTTTTGTACAAAGGCATAGAGCCCATATATACTGTTCACCCACCTGTTATCAGTGTTGCAAGAAGACGGGGATGTGGCTGGGACACTCAGATTATACAGGTATCTGGCTGTACTTTCAGTGCTCAGGGCCTTTCATAGTCAGTGAAAAACAGAACAGGCTTCAGGTCAAACCCAGTACAAGAAAGGTAGTCTTTCCACAGAACTGAAGTAGTATCAATGAAGTTGAAAGGTTACTGTGACAGAGCACCATCTCAGGGCTGGGTCTCAACCTTGGCCTGCCCACTTGTCTCTGTATGGGGCAGTCCACCCAGTCTTGCCTGCCACAATTTGTTGTTCACTAAACTGGTGTAAAATGTGGGAGACTGCCCATTTTACTGCCCTGATGCCAAGGGGCTGTAAATGACTCCAACTTTCCCTTATCATGTCCCATGCCCTGCAGATGGCATCCAAAACAAGTTCTTAACCTTAACCCAAACTGAGCCTCACCATGACAGAGGGCTTACCAGGGTCTCCCTCTGACCCAAAACTTGACCTCACCACATCTGAGGGCTTACTGGGGTGTCATCCTCTGGCCCAACTGTGGCCTCTGGCATACGTAGACTTACCTTGGCCTATCTGCCCCCTCCCTGGGACTTCAACATATACCCTCCTAGTAGGGCCTTCCACCTATGCTCTCTCACTAGGGCCTTCCAGATTATTACACATCCAGTTTAAGACCAGGCCAAACACAGTCCTGTGCTGGGCCTATAGCACTCTGCCCTTCACTGGGCTGCATACATTCCTCCCCACTCTCACTGGGGCCTCTTACACTCTGCCCTCTCTCACTGGGCCTCTTTCATACTGCCCTACCTAGGGCCACTCTCGACCTGCCCTTGCTCCCTAAGCGACCCCCTTGGGCCATCGGGCTTAACTACTTTCATTCTGACCAGTGCACAGACACAGCCCTTTGGTTCGCTCAAGCTTCCCTACTCTATATGGCACTGGCCTTGTGCCTTACACTGGGTTGACTCTGTCCCTAGCCCCTCACTGGGCCTTCCAGTCCCCCTTTCCAGGGGCCACTGGGCTCCTATGCCCCCCCTGTGGGACTCGGTGTCATGCTGATTTACCTGGCCCTGTTCTGCCCCCTCACTGGGACCACTCTATCTGCCCCCTTAATTGGGCCTCTAGAGTCTTCCACTCCATGGGGCTCGAGTGTCCAGAGACATGTCTGGACCCCATGCCTGTCCCTAGACTCAGGTATCCCACCAGGATGTGGGGGCTGACGTTTTAGGGTGCCCCTCCTCACCTTTCACTGGGGAGGCAACTGGCCTGGCATTTCTGGGGACCTCCCCTGCCACACGGAGTCCCACCAGGCCATCTTTCCCCAGCAGGGTGTAGTTTTCTGTCATATCCAGGACCATGCAGGCCTACCTGCCCTGGTCTCCTCCTTAATGGGCTACTTGTTGTTCCTGGGCTGCTGCTGGCCCTACTCTCTGGACCCCTCCTTGGATGCCTCCCATCTGCTGTCTTGCTGAGCCTTTCTTCCCCTAGATAGTGATGACCCCCGCATTGAGGGGACTTTCAGCCTCCTTATGCTCTGGCCCCATCTCCAAGCCAGTCGGAGTGCCAAATAGCTCATCATGGCCCAGGCCTGCTCCTTGCAGTGGGTTTCATTGCCCTTCAGCCTTCTGCCCCTGGCCCTGTTGCACTGACCAGTTCAGGTGTTCTGGTCCCAGCACTGCAGCAACTGACCTCCTTAGGCAGCAGGGGTCCCCTTCTGGGCCCCACCATACAGCCATCTCACACTGGGCTTGCTTAGAGCCCCAGAAATCTTAATAGCACAGCTCCACCCTCAACTGGGCTCATCTGAGCCCCAAGCCTCACCCCTGCCTGTTATAAATCAGGGGTGTGCCTAGCCCCTGTGTAGGCCTGCAACTTGTGAGCCCCCTTTCTGGGCTGAGCTTTGCTCTCTCTAGGCCCAAGCCTTCTCTGTGGGACTTGGGACCCCACGGGGCCCCCCAGGAACCTCTTACCATCCCCACAGCTCTTACCACCAAGGTGTTGTGAGCAGCGGCTTAGCCAGGTTGCAATTCTCTCGACATGTGGGTAGGCTGGTGTTGTGAGCAGCAGCTACCTGGGAGCAATAAATTTTAAGCTGGAGATGTTATCACAGCAGCATCCCAACAGCAACTGCCAACTTTGCCTGCCAGGGCCTGCTCTTATGCCATGGTCCTACAGCTCAGCCCCAGTCAAAGATGTCTTGATTGCCTCTGCAGTCACCTGCAGGCTGCCACTCATTCTGCTCCAGCTTTCAAAGTGGCAGGCACCTGCTCCAGCCCTTAACATGCACTGCCACAGTTACCTTTAAGCATACATAGTGCATGGCCTACACCCTGAGATAGGCAATTAAACCTGATTTGGCTCTTTGTATTTATGATACTTTCTGTCTGAGCACTGGGAAATGAAACCAAACTGTGCCTCAATAATTTATACTAAAATGGGAATGAAAAATAGGTCTGGTTACCAAACATGTATTCATAAAAACTGTCCAAAACTGGTGTAGTGCCCCAAAGCTGTATCTTTTTATTTGTTACTCTTGTTTTAAATCATAGGTGGCCAACCTACAGTGCATACCAGAAGTGGTAGAGCCAGCCTCTGTGTGTGGTACATGGCAGATAAGGGAGGGTACAGGCAGCACACTGGCAGATAGGGCAGGAAGCAGAAAGCAGGGCAACAGGTTGTGCAGGGAGCACAGGGCAAGAAGCAGATCAGGCATGGGGAAGGGATCAGAGTGGCACCCATCTGTAATATCATCAACATTTGGGAAATGTTTAAGTGTACCATAATTTAATTAAGTGCACCATTATTTAACATAGTCTTCAAGCTACACTCCTTCAATGGCTTCTATGAAGCATGCAACTGTATTGCTTTCCCAACACAATGAGCTTCAATCAGCATCCAAGATCAGCTGTTGTCTCCTGTCCCGCACAGCTGACGCACCAACTGAGGATCTGGGCCACTGAGTTTGACAGAGAAGAACCTGTCATTACAGTCCTGAGTGCTGATCGGCCTCCAACAGCAGGCTGTGGCTGTTAGTGAGATGTGGAGAGGGAGGTTCCTCAGCTGTCTGTGAGCACTGATCCCCACGTTTCCTTAGTGGTTGCTGTTTTCACAAGGGGAGATTTGCCATCTTTTGGAGTATGCAGGCCACACCTTTCTGCCTCTGCGTCAGATATGCATTCCAGCCTATCAGCATCTGCTTCAGCTGCTTTACATATACATCTTCACAGTTCCATGCACTACCACACTGGAAAGACAACCTAAGCCTTTTGATCTCCAAAGCCAGGCTGGTAGGCAGTCACCGACTTCCTCAGACCTTCTCAAACATGGAACAGCAGCACAGGATATTGTCTGAAAGAGCTGGGCTGGAATGTTATCCCTCAGAAATCGAGGCTCCAGGGAACTTTCATATGGGTGTTGGCAACATTTGGTCAACAGGTTTGGGGAGAAAGTCATGAGAACTGTATTTCATATAAAAACATATTTCAGTTGCACAGAAAATTTAGGCACCGTGTAAATTAAAGCTGCTTCAGAGACTTGTTCAGCTAATAATATATACCAAATAGAATACCATTTTCCAGCAGTTTCTTAGAATGACAGTGATTATTGTAGCAGTTATTTTCAAAGAGCTTGACAATTGCTGATAAATTTCAACCTTTTTTTAACTACTCCCCAAGTAACACTGAAAAGCATATTTCATAGGCACTGTTTTAAAAATTGTTTCACCATAAATTCTATCATTCAGTTTTGCTTCTTGACTGTCATGTAAATTACCTCTGATTATGATCAATTACCTGAGTAGTTCATTTTGTTATCTGTGGAGCCAGCATTATTGAATTAGAAATCATCCGATAGACACTGTAAATGGACAGCTTTCCTTGGTTTTATTTGACTAATTTTATACTACTAAAATATGACAGAAAATCTGGTTGATAGATGACTTATTTCTTTTGTTTTATTGGGAAAAATGTTTTCAATGAAGATGCTTCCAATACATGCAGCCACTAGTCATAGCAGTGTTGTCTATAGAAACTTGATGACACCTGTCATCTATTGCAGTAGCTGTTTGTGTCAATGGCCAACATTTCCACATCCTTTTGGTCTAATTCACCTGCTACAGAATAAGCCATTGTTCCATTTGTCCAAATTTGCTGCTTGGTATTAGCATCTTTGGCAAGTGACCTCAAGTGTGTTCTTTTGATTTTCTTTGTTAGTCTTGCAAAGCATAGCAGTATTGAACTGAATATCATAGAAAATCCACAGAGAAGGAATGATGCAGTGTAGCTGCCAGTTGTATCCACCAGCCAACCTATTGGAAAACAAACAATCTTTATTAAAGTACACCAGGAATTTGATAGTTTACAAACCCTTCTTCAACATCAGTACTGTAGTTTTTTCAATGTGATTCACTTATAAGCCTATATAGCTGCTACAGTGGATATACATTTTCCTGGGTGCATACATCTACAGGAGACAAAGACTAATACAGACAACCCCTGCTTAATGCTATTTCACTTAGTGCTATTTTGGTACAACGCTCGTTTTAATTGATACCCGATAGCGCTCAGCGAGTTTTGTTATAATGCTCGTGGTCGCCATCTTGGGTCATTAAAAACAATTGTGGTCTCCATCTTGGGTCGTCAAATACTTTCAGTTTTGCTTAACACTCATTTCACTTAACACTTAGTTTTTCAGAAACAAATTAAGAACACTAAGCGAGGGTTGCCTGTACTTTACACCAGAGATAGTCAACCTGTGGCATGCATGCCACAAGTGTCACAGGAAGCCTCTGTGCTGAGAATGCAGCAGACTGTTAGAATATGTTTTAGAATATGTTATATCTATGCTACGGTTATGCTTATGCTAAGTTGCCATTTTAAACGTACTTCCATTTTGTAGAAAAAGAAGCAATAAGGGGTGGGGGTGTATGTGTGCTGTGGGTGATTGTAACAGGTATTAAACAGATGGCTATGAAATATTTGGAGTGAACAGAGATAACCATCAGAATGAAGTGCAGGTGGCAGTCTGAAAATGTGGAGATGATACGAATAAGAACTGAAAAACAGACTGGAATGTAAAAACAATATGTAACCAATAACAGAGTCCAAAAGATAAGCTCAAATGAACAATTGAGTGGTGATTGGTAAAGAAGTCTCCAGGCATCGATCGAAGTCTGCCCCATGAAGATAAAAGGGCAGTGAAGGCCAAGCCCAGATGGACACCTTAACCAGCAACACCAGCCTAGCTGCACTTCGAGAGAATTGATACCGGCGCCGCTCTTAACTGAACATCGCCTTGAAGAAGCCTGCAACTGGCCAGCACAGTGTAACTCCAAGTTCCATGGATAGGAGACTTAGCGAGAATGGTGTTAATGGAGTATATGGTGTGAATGAGTACGAGTTAATCTTATATAAACTGCTAAATTTGCCTCAGTTTCCATATGTTATGCAATGAACCTTTGTTTGCTGAACCTGTGTGTTGGTCATTTTCCAACAAGACCAGGAAGGGGACAGGCAGCACAGCAGCAGATAGGGCAAGGAGTAGAAAACAGAGCAGCAGATTGGACAGGGAGCCACAGAACAGGAAGGAAGCACAAGACAAGAAGCAGGCAGCAGACTAGTTAATCCAGCAGGGGAAGGGATCAGACTGTCCCTCAGGGAGGGTATGGAGCTAATTTGTAGCGTGCCTACCACACTTTTCATAATGATTTCAGTATTATTAGCTCAACTTGTTAAGTGCTTTTCTGGCAAACCTATCATATATCCAACCATGGGACCCTAACTGAGGAAATATCAGGTTTCACTGAATCAATCCTAAAACCGCTTGTCACCCACAGAGCAAGTTTTGTACAAGACACTACAGACTTGCTATGGAAACTTAAAAACATAGACCACCTTCCCAGCAACACACTCCTAGCCACCATGGACGTTACCAGGCTATACACCAACATCCCACACCAGGATGGCATCCAAGCCTGCCTTACATATCTACAGGAACAAGATTACAACTCAGAATACAGACCCAAAGATATTACTGAGCTTATACACTTCATCCTCATGCACAACAATTTCACTTTTAATAATCAACACTTCTTCCAGATGATGGGAACAGCTATGGGCACTAAAATGGCCCCACAGTATGCCAACCTTTTTATAAGCCACCTGGAAGAAGACTTCCTCAAGAACTGCACCATCAAACCCTTGCTATACTTACGATATATCGATGACATCTTCATCATTTGGAGTGAGAACCTACAATCTCTAATTGAGTTCCATCAGAAATTCAACAGTCACCATCCCTCCATCCGACTTTCTTTAGAATACTCCAGCACCAGCATCTCCTTTTTTGACACAATGATCAGTATCCAGAAGGGTAAAATACAGACCACAGTATACAGGAAACCCACAGACCAACACACATATCTGCACAGAACCACAATCACCCTAAACACACCAAAAAAGCTGTGATATACAGCCAAGCCCTCAGATACCACCGCATCTGTACTGAAGAGAACACCCGAGATTGCCACCTCACCAATCTTAAAAAGGCTTTCAGCCAGCAAGGACACTCCTCCAGAGAGGCAGATCGCACATTTGAAAGAGCCACCTGGATACCACGTGAAGAACTGCTGCAGTACAGAAGAAAAACCCCCAGACCCTATTCTTAAAAAGATCTTCCCAGAGCCACCCATCCTAGCCTTCAAACAAGCACTGAACCTCGCCAACCTCATCACCAGAAGCAAACTTCCTCAAGCCCAGAACACACCAAAAGGATCCAGACCGTGCCATGACAAGAAATGCAAAACCTGCCAACACATCTCCACCACCCCCACTATTACTACACCCCACAACAGAGCCATCAGCATCCCAGGATCTTACAGCTGCACCTCCAGAAATGTAATATACCTCATCCAATGCACCAAATGCCCTGATGGAAGATATGTAGGAGAGACCAGACAACAACTGCGCACCAGAATGAATGCACACCGGAAATCTATCAAAGACAGAAATACTCAATTACCAGTGGGGGCACATTTCTCACAGGAGGGCCACTCTCTCTCCAATCTCTCAGTCCTGATCCTCAAGGGAAACTTACACAACACTTCCCAGAGATGAGCCTATGAACTCCACTTCATCAAACTCCTGGATACTAGAAATCAGGGACTAAACATAGACATTGGATTTTTGATATATTATAATCTGCCTGGCAACTGACTCCCCAGCCCAGCCCCTGGCTTGTTTACTTTTCATTCCATCCAGGAAGAGCACACACTGCGGAAACTTCTTTAGCCTGACGAAGGGTTTTTGAACTCGAAAGCTTGCTTAATAACTATTCTACAACTATTTGGGTTGGTCTAATAAAAGATATCAAATTCACCCAAGGAACCTTGTCTGCCTTTGTTCAGAAGATAAATGTATCACAATTCATCGCATTCAGGCCCCCGCTCTGGTGAGAGACACATGGGCGGAAGCCTGTTGCACCCCTATGAACCCAGGGACCCGCAGGACCCCCCAAGAGGACCCCAGGACTTCCTGTGGGTCCCGGCCTACCCAGAGGTAATCAGGGGCCCATGGTGGGAGGGACATAGCCCAGCTGCAGGACAGCTGAGTGGAGCCGAGGAGGGTCACACCCCCTGCCCTGGCTCTTACTTCACCCAGCCCCCCAGGGAACCATGTGACCAGAGCCTCTTGAACAGGACATGCAAACAGGTGAACTTCTGGGCCCGGCACATGAGTTTAGCATGAGAGTTTGCACAGGAGGGTGAATGGAAGGGCCCGAGGCCCTGCCAGGGAGCCCTGGGGAAGGTAGTCACAGGTAGCTGGATGGACTACTGTGGCACAGTGCGGATGGGCACATGCCACACCCCGAGGGTCCCCTCAGAGTCTGAGGCCTCCCCCTCTGGCACCTCAGACGTCTCCGCCCAGACGCAACCCATGGTTCCGGTCTCCAAACAGATGGAGCCTGTGGCTCTTGGCTGCAGGGGGCTGCCTGGCACGTTTCCAGGCTCATGGGACCAGGAGCATGGCCACCTTCCCTTGTGAGGTTTGCTCCACTTTGGAGTCTCTGGGGCACCAGACAGTGGAGCTCCAGGCCACAGTTCAGAGACTGCATGCCATCAGGGATGGTGAGCAGGAGATAGACTCCTACTGCCAGGCTCTTCACCCCCTGGAGGTGGAGGGTAGACCAAGGTCAACTTCCAGGACAAGGAAGGACTCGAGGATCTCCCATAATGTCCAGCCAGGGGGTTGGACCAAGGTGGTCAATGGCCCCAAGGCCCACTGCACCAGGGTCCCCTCCCCTCTGGAGCTTTGCAACAGGTACGAACCTTTTGCAGCCCCAGTTGAGCCTGCAGAGCTGCCAGCTCCTGCAGGCAATGCAGGTTCATCCACAGCTACTATCCTGCTCTCCCTAAGGCTACTCATAGAGTAGTCATCAAGGGAGACTTCCTCCTGAGGGGGACTGAGGATGCGATCTGCTGCCCCGACCCCTTAGCCCAGGAGGTCTGCTGCTTCCCGGGAGCCTGTATCTGGGACATAGCCGAGAGGATCCCAAAACTCATCTGGCCCACTGACCACTACCCTATGCTCCTTATCCATGTTGGCACAAATAACACAGCTCAGAGCAATCCTAGCTGGGTCATGAGATGCTACAGGGCGTTGGGAGCAGGGCTTAAGGGGTTGGGGGCACAGGTGGTGTTTTCCTCAATCCTCACGTTTTCAGGCTATGGGCTGAGGAGGGAGAGGAGGATCGAGGTAGTTAACCAAAGACTGCGGTGCTGGTGTCATTGTGAAGGCTTCGGCTTCCATGATCACAGATCCCACTTTGGTGAAAGAGGCAGTGGTCTGCTGGGAAGAGACAGCCTTCACCTCACTGCGCTGGGGAGGAGGCTCTTTTCAGCCAGACTGGCCAACCTGATTGACCGGCCTTTAAACTAAGCTCACCAGGGGATGGGGGGACTACCGCCACAGCAAGCCCGCTGGGCAACTTTTGTAAATCCAGCAGCCTAAGGCACTCAAGGGAACCAACCCCTACCCCAGCCCTGGAATGATGAGTAGGGAAGACAAGGGCCCCCAATGTAACACTTATGTGCCTGTACACTAATGCCAGGAGTTTAGGGAATAAACAGGAGGAACTAGTCCTCCTGCTAAACAAGAATGACTACGATCTTATAGAAATAATAGAGACCTGGTAGGACTCTACCTATGACTGGTCCATAGGTATAAATGGCTATATTTTGTACAGGAGAGATTGTGTAGACAAAAGGGGTGGCGGGCGGGGGGTGGGGGTTAGCTCTCTATGCCAAGGAAA